TGATCTCTTCTGAGGTTCCTTCTAGTTCGAGATGTGGGGGGCAGCCTGTTCAAATGCAGACAGATGAACAATTTGGCTAGAATGCAACATGGGTGAAGGGGAATAATTGAATTTAAACTAGAAGGGTGGGTAGGAGCCAGGAGGTGGAGGAACTAAAATGTCAGACTAAGAAATTTGAATTTTAAAAAATAATAAAAAAAAATAAAAGAAATTTGAATTTTATCTTAGAAGTGATAGGATAAATAAATAGCCAGGGTTGCTACAGAAGGCTCAATACATTCAATTCAAAAGAAAGATGAGAGAGAATCAAGTTTTTTTTTTCTTTAAAGAAGAAACTAAACTCCTTTCTTTTTAATTTCCATCTTCCAAGAAGGCCAGAAGGCTGTCTTCCACATTCACAAGGCCAACAAATGCCAGAATCTGAAAGAGGCTTCCCCAGGTGTGGAAACGAAGAAGGAGAAATGCCAGACATCCGTAGTCGCCCAGTTTGGAAGACAGGCCCGGCCAGAAAGGAAACAGGGGAACCGTTAATTTATCTTAGAAGGGGAGAACACATGGCCCTGGGGTGGAGGCAGAGCCATGGGGCACTGCTAAGAACTGGAGACGGCGAAGCCCCCTTAGGCTTTCTTCTCTCAATTGGAGACGAGTCATTGGGGCCAAGCATGAAACATTCCTTTATTCTTTGAACGGAGATTTATTGACGTCCCTACCTGGATTTTAGCAAGGCATTTGTCAAAGTCAGGCACGGTTTCCCTGGGGACAAGATGGAGAGACCTAGGCTAGAGGATGGTACAGTCTGGTGTATTTGGAACTGGTGGACCAAACGGGGCCAAAGACTGGTCACGAATGGCTCCGATTTCTGCTTGGAGGGCGGTCTCCACTGGCATTCCTTGGGGAGCTGTCGTTATCCCCGATCAGCATACGACCATGGTTAAGAGACAGATGCCATCTTTATTTTTTTTTTTTAATTAACGTCTTGGTTGAAGGGGAAGATGGAGTGCTTATCTGATTTGCAGCAGAAGACACAAAGCTAGGACCAATCACTGACACGCTGGTTGACAGAGAGCTCAAAAGATCTTGACAGGGCTAGAACATTGGGCTGAATCTAATTAGATGGAATCAAATAGGAATGAGTGTAAAGTCCAACCCTTTGGTTCAAGGCGTCAACATCACAAGTATAGGATGGGGGATGTACGTCTTGAATAAAGTTCATAGGAGGAAGATCTAAAGAACTAGAGCCTTAGACAGTGAGGTGGTGTAGGACCTTAGAGCATGTGGCCTGGAACTATGCAGACCCGAGTTCAAATCCCGCTTCGGACCCTTGCTTGCTATGAGTTTGTCTTTCTTTGTAGTCCCCGAACTTAGGACAGCATCTGGCATGTAGTAGGTGATTAATAAATACTAATTGACTTGGGGCATCTGGGTGGTGCAGTGGAGAGAGTACCGGCCCTGGAGTCAGGAGGACCTGAGTTCGAATCCAGCCTCAGACACATAACACTCACTTAGCTGTGTGACTCTGGGCAAGTCACTTAACCCCAATTCCCTCACCAAAAAATAAATAAATAAATGCATGCTAGTTGACTGACTGATGGTATTAAGAGATAGAATGTGGTATGAGAGGAACAAAGATGCCTGTGGAGGTTGGATAATGGGAAGAGGTGGGGAGGGACCAGGTCCTAAAGCACTTTACAAGCCAGATAGGATTTTATAATTGATCAATATAATAGAGACTTAGATAAATATAATAGAAAAGATAAATATAATAGAGACTCAAGACTTAGAGTCAGGAAGGCCTGAGTTCAAATCTGGTCTTAGACACTTACTAGCTGTGTGACCCTAGGCAAGTCACTTAACCTCTGCCTGCCTCATTTTTCTCATCTTTAAAATGGGTCAAATGGAAATTTCTTTGGGTGGACACTTTCTCTGGCGCTTCTTTCACTTCCTTCTAAGTCCATTCTCCTAAACATTTGGCCCCCTTAAGCATAAGACTTTTCCTTGCACTGGGGAATGGAGACTGAGGTGGGAGAAATTCTACAGTATTTTAAATGGGAGAATGATGGAGGTTATCCCAAGACTTTTTTTTTTGTGAGGCCGTTGGGGTTAAATGACTTGCGTAGGGTCACACAGCTAGTAAGTATCATGTGTCTGAGGCCGGATTTGAACTCGGGTCCTTCTGACTCCAGGGCCGATGCTCCAGGGCCACTGCGCCACCTAGCTGCCCTTCAGAAGACATTTTTGCCCAGGGTTTGTCCTGAGTCAGACCCCTTCCAGGAGTGGGCCAGGGAGTCAGTTGGGTCCATGATGCTTTGTCATTGAAGCATTTTACTATTGTCCTCCTCCCCACCCGCCATCTTTGCGTGCACCATCTCCTCCCATCACCCATTCTCTCTTGTCCCTGTTCTCTTTTCTTTTCTCCTTTCTGGAGCTACTCTCCCCTTTCTTTCTGGTAAACATGTAGGTATGTGCCCTGTTTAGGGGGGGATGGCATTTTGGATGGTTTAGTGGGAAGGACACTGTATTTTGAGTCAGAAACCCTAAATTACGCTCCCGGTTGTGCTATTTACTAGCTCAAACCATATCCAGGAGTTCTGGTGGATAGCAGACTTAATTTGACTCAACAATATGCTGAGGCAGCCAGATGAGTCGATGTGATTGTGGGGAGCTACCTTGGGCCTCGGCGTCCTCCTATGTAAAAAGGAATGTTTTCTATTAGAGGATTTCTGTGTTCCTCTCTTGCTCTGAATCCTGTGAAATGAGAAGTCTGCAAAGGGCCAAGCGTAGCCCAAGGGAACGGATACTAATGGTGGATGAGGTATTTTTGGGCAGGGGTCGATCCTTCCTGGCAGGTGTCTTCTTGCAAATGAGGCCCACATCCCTGAGCGACCTCTGAGTAAGCTGAAGTTTGCAGGGACCCAGAGAAGTGTTTCCTGCTTCCTTTGGCAGCGGTCACTGAGGGCGGTGATGAGCTGGGAAGAAGAAGCCAATGGGGAGGGAAGAAGAACCTCAGCACTCTTCCATGGTGGGAATTAATTTCAGAAAGGAGGTGGTTATTGGGGGGAGGGTGACTGCAGTGGAAAGTGCATCCCCTTGTGTGAGGATGAAATGCCATGTGTGGCAAATAATGGATGGAGGACTAGACTGAGGCTGGAGGACCCTGGGGTAAGCCCTGCCTGCCTCATACTGGCTGGGTGACCTTGGGCAAACCCCTTAATCTCAAAATGCCCCAGGCAGCTCAGACCCTCAGTTACAGAATAACTACCCATCCATAGATCATTGAGGGAAGAGGAGAGGAATTGGTCCTGTGATTTACTTGGCGTTCCCATCGAGCAATCAGTGTAGATAGGTGCCTATCCCAGAATTTAGAGAGCAGCCTTTAGTAGTAAGGAGATAAATGACTTGCCCACAGTCACACAGGCATATGAGTCAGAGGAGGAACTTGAACCCAGGTCTTCTTGATTCTGAAGTCCCAAGTACTGCCACCAGCACCATCACCAACACCCACACCAAGTCTCCAGACAATGTAAGCCGTATTGCTTACTGGCATCTAATAACAGTAGAAGCTGACATTTATGGATTACATTAAGGTTTAAAAAAGACTCTTCTTACACTAGGCTGATGAATCAGTAGTACAAGTATCATTGCCCCTATTTAGTAGATGTAGAAACTGAGCAGAGACTTGTCCATAGACACAGAGCTGTCATCAGAGTGGACATTTGAACCCAAGTCTTCCTGACTTTAAGTCCAGTACTTTTCCCCTTCTAGCACTGCCATACTTCCTCCCTTCCTCCCTGTCCCTCTCCCTGTGAGAGGCTCAAAACCATTACCAGACCTCCTCAGCAGGAAGGTTCCTAATGTATAGCTGGACACCCCAAGCAGGAAGTAAAGGGCTCAGGAAACAGTGAATGAGACTCCATGGTGATGATGGAAAGCATGTAGCTTCGTTTCCAGTTGGGTCTATGTCTCCCAGGCCACCATGGCAGTGGGATCCTTTTTTGGGAAAGGGGATCATAGGTCATAGATCTAGAGCTGAAAGCAACTTCAGAGGTCCTAGAATCTAGCTCCCTCATTTTACAGATGAAGAAACTGAGGCCAAGAGAAAGGAAAGGACTTGGCCAAGGTTACATAGGAAGTAGGTGGTCATATGTCATAGGTCATAAACTCTCTAGCCTTATTCTCTAATTTTATTGATGAGGAAACTGAGCCCCAGGGGTGTTAAAGGATTTATTTAAGGTCACACAGGTAGTAAACATAAAGGCAGGATTTGGGAGAGGAGATTCCTTGATTTAAAAAAAAAAACACTTTTGTTTTCTTATATTTTATTTTAAAATTATTAGTTTTTCTCTCCCTCCTACTTCCCCATTAGAAAAAAAGAAAACCAAAAGCCTTGTAACAAGTAAACGTAATTACACACATCAAAGTCCCCCATCCACCATGCCCAGAGCTGTGTATGCCTCCTTCTGCATCCTGAGTCCATCACCTTTCTGTCAGGGGGTGGGTATCATTTCCATGACCAGTCTTCTGGATTTGGGATTGGTCATGGCATTGGTCAGAATTTTTTGAAGTTGTTTTTTTTCCTTAGAATATTGTTGTTATTGTATAAATTGTTCCGGTTGTCCTAGGATGTCCTCTCTCCCAGGCTTCCCCTCCTTCCTGGATGGCCCCCAGGGGCCCGAGTCCAATAGAGAAGTCCGGGTCGGGGCCCCAGGAAGAGCAGTGCTTCTGCCTCTGAGCCCCTGCCTCTCCCTAGGGCACCCCAGGCCTTCTGCTTCTCCCGTTTATATCTCTCCCCCTAACCCTCCCAATTCCTCTGAGCTGTTTCTTAGTTCACTTTTCTCTCAGCCCTTCCCCCGGCCCCCCTTCCTTTGTCAGGCTGCCCCCTTGACCGACATCTCCAGGAGCGGAGGAGCTGTGGAATGTGAGGTCCCCCTGGCTGCCAGTGACCTGCCCCAGGGGCTCTCATTCCCCTTCTCATGCTCCCCCTCTCTCTCTCCTGCCTCCAGCTGTCTGCAATTATGGAGTCTGTTTCAATGGAGGGAACTGCGTTGAAGGGTCGGCTCAGCTGTGTCACTGTCCCCCTGGCTTCCAGGGCCCCCGCTGTCAGTACGGTGAGTAGAATCCAGTTTCTTCACCTCGCCCAGTCCCATGCAGGCAGGCCACTTTGGGCCTGGTGGTGGGGGAGGATGGGGGGGAGGGAGGGTTCCTGAATGAGAAACAGTATGGTTCTTACCCTTCGCTCCTGATCCAGGTTCCTGGAAGTCCTTAGCCTGTCTCTGTTCCTTTGCTCCTTTCCAGAATCCCTTGCCTAGCTATGTGTGCATGGGCTAATACTTTCCTTCTTTGAAAACATGGTGTAATCACACTTGCACCCCTATCTTGAGGGTTGTCTGAAACTTGGAAGCATGCTAGAAATGTGAGTTTTTCTTATGAAATGTTTCTGATATTAAATGGGTCTTTCAATGCAAAATCAAATATATGACCATCTATTTTTTGGGTTTTTTTGGGGGGTGCCATACCTTTAGTTTCATTGGTATAGAAAATTCTTTTACCAATGAAGATGGTCACCTGTTCTGTGCTTCAGTCTGAGGGAACTGCTTGGGGGCACTAAGAGGGGTTGGGTGACTGCTCCAAGGTCATGCAGCTAGTATGTGTCACTGACAGAGATTGATCCCAGGTCTCCCTGACTCCAAGGCTGGCGCTCTCTGTTCACTTCACCTTGATGCCTTTTGAGTACTATGGGGAAAATGGTGGCTTTGGAGTCCAAGGGTCTGGGTTCAAATGCCAGCTGTATCCCTTCCTAGCTCTGTGACCTTGGGAAAGTTGATTCCTCTCTCTGGGCTTCAGTTTCTTCAACTGTAAAATGAGTGGGTGACCCCTCAAGACCCTCTTCTTCTTTGATATCATTTACTTTTTAAAATTTTATTATTAATTTTTAATAAACTTCATAATTTAATACATTTTAAATTTATTTCTAGGCACTTTTTAGGCAAAGTGACCTGTCCATGGTCACACAGCTAGGATCTCATTTACTTTTAACTGGTCTTGGTGGACACAGGGTTAACATTTGACCACATAAATCAGCTCCTCCCAGGTTAATAGGAGCCTGAATGTGCCACAGCTGAAATGGAAAGCTTCCCTGCTTATGTGTCTGCCAGGCAGACAGGTGAAGGGTGAGGGGGTAACCACAGAGGCCCTGGTACTGGCTTCCACAGGAAATGGGCTGGCTGCTTTTATGACAGCAGCAGTCGATGCACAGTGGTAGCCCCTATGGACCCTGAGCTTTGGAAGGAGGAGGGTCCCGATGGAAATTGGTAGATGTTTCCCTTCTCTTTTCTTTTGCCACCTAAACTCTGGGAGCCATGGCAGTTTGGAGAGTGAAGAAGGAACTCTGGAGAGGTTTGGGAAAGGTCAGAGCCTAGTGGCTCCATCCTTGTGTATTTTCATTCATTCATTCATTCATTCATTCATTCATTCATTCATTCATTCATTCATTCATTCATTTGTCCGTTTGCTGGGAGAAATAGATCAGACTGACTTGAGACTGGGTCTGAAACATTGAGGGAGCCCTGGGATTAGAAGGCAGCATGGGACAGTGTAGCATTGCAGATAGAGAGCCATCCTCAAGGCCAGTAAGTCCAGAGTGCAAATCCTACCCCTGACACATACTGGCTATGTCACCTTAAGTGAGTCACTGACCTTTCAGTTCTCTAGGCCACTGTCTAAGGCTCTAAAGTGACGAGAAGGTGCCGACCTGCATCAGTAGAGGGCATTCCCTCACCTGAGAGGTTCCTATACTAACAGAATCACAGATCCAGCCTCCTAGAATAGGATCACAGGTCCAGTCATTTTTGCATACCAAGTAATTTCATGGGAGTGGAGAGAAGTAGTAACTACTAGAAGTGGAAATTGTTAAGTCATTTCAGGTGTGTCTCCCATGGGTTTTTTGGCAGAGATACCACGGTGGTTTGTCATTTCCTTTTCCGGCTCATTTTACAGATGAGGAAACTGAGGCAAACAGGATTAAGTGACTTGCCCAAGGTCACACTAGGAAGTGTCTGAGGCCAGATTTGAATTCAGGTCTTCCTGACTCCAGGCCTGGCGCTCTGTGCACTCTGGTACTGCCTAGCTTCCGTGATCATTAAAGTAGTGGTTGTAGTTAATTGCAAACTCCTGGGCATATCTAGACATAGTAGTAACTAACATTTCTAAGGTTTGCAGAGACTTTTCATATGTTTTCACATTTGATTTGATACATGTTCATCGAGTGGTAGCCTACTGATCCTCACAGCAACCCTTCGAGGGAGGTGCTATTATTATCATTTTACAAATGCGGAAACTGATGTAAACAGAGGCCAAGTGACTGGCCCAGAGTCACACAGCTAGGAAGTGTCTGAGGCAGGATTTGAACTCAATATTTGGAATCAGGAAGACTTGAAGTCAAATCCTGCCTCACTCACTGAATAGCTGTATGGCCTTGGGCTAGTCACTTCTCTATTTGCCTCAGTTTCCTCTTCTCTAAAATGAGGGATAACAATAGTGCCTCCCGGCCAGGGTTGTCATGAGGATTTCATGAGATAATATTAGTAAAGCACATAGTAGGTGCTTAATAAATGCTTATTTCTTCTCCCCCACCCTCAGCATGGTGCTCTGTACACAGTGGGTGCTCATAAATGATCATTGGATTGGAAATGGCCATGCTCTTGAGGGAGTCCCCAGATCCTGAGTTGTGGCTGTGGCAGGACCCGGTGGCTGGTGCCAGGATGGTGGCCTAGCCATTGTGGGGGAGGGCTTGAGACAGTGGTAGACTCATCTCGGGATGGAAAGCCCAGGGGTGGATGCCAGCTCCTCCCATCTCTGTCTCCTCACCTTGCCAGTCGGTTTGCTGAGTCAGGCGGTCCATGGTCCATTGCCAATTTCTTCATGGCCAGTCTCCCTTGAGGAACTTTAATTACGGCTACAGGTGGAAATTAAGAAATGCTTAAAGGGCCATTAAATCTCATTTGGCTAATCCTTTTGAGATACCCAGGGCTCTGCTCTTGGATTCCATTCAGGAACTGCAGCCCAAGGGGAGGCTGGTGGAGGTCCCAGCTGCTGCGCTGGTCAGGATGGGATTTTCAGGCCCGGAGTTGTCCCCCGCAATGGACGTGGTGGTCAGGGCTCTCATGTGAAGGGTCTGGGTGAACTTTGGGGGCTCATAAGCAGATGCCACCTGAATTCTTTGGGGAATGCTTAGATGCCCCCTGATACCTCAGCCTCAGAGCCCTTGACCTTTTCTCAGGATTTGCAGATGGGACCCTGACAGCTGACTGACCTTTCACCTGCAGGGTATACCCTCAACTCATCTCCCCCATCCCTATTCCCTCCTCTACTTGAAACATAGATTTCCCTCCAGGGCACATGGATTCCTGAAACTGGAGGGAGTGGCAATTTGTGGGGTGCTGGGCTAATAATATATACTTTATGGAAATACTTCCCCTTCTGGGTTTCATTACAGGCAGACAGGTAGAATCCCCCTCCCCCACTTCTTCCAAAAACCCGATAGATTCTGACTCCCTTTTTCCCTTCTCTCCCCTCCTTCCACCCCCTGTGAGGGTAGATGAGACCACCATCTTTTGTCTGTACCTTTTGGATGGGTTGGTTTTAGTGTCCATCGAGGAAGGGAGTAAATTTAAGGGGCCAGACATATGTTGACAACCAGGGATGCATCAGTGGGGTTGGGACCATGATGGATGGGTGGGGTGGGGTGGGGAATGCCGAACAACCCCTCACCTGAGAAATCACAACCCATCCTCCTTTGCCTGCATCCTAGAATTCTGTGTCTGTAGAACTGGAGGGGGTCTTAGATATCAGTCTGGTTCAAGCCCCTCATTTAACAGATAAGAAAACTGAGGCCCAGAGAGCATCAATGACTTAGATAAGAAATGGCAGAGTTGGGGTGCAAGCGCGGGTGTTCTGGGCCCATATCCAGCCATCTTCACCTACTTTGTCCCAGGCACTGGGCTAGCCACTGGAAATACAAAGACAAAGGATGAAACAGTCCCTGCTCTCAAGTGATTCACCTTCTATGGAGGGAGATGGCAGATACAAGCATATATAAATATGCACAGAGTACCTACGTATGTCAGTAGAAAGAAACCACATGCAAATATGTACAAAGTAGAGAAATACAGGATGGTCTGGGAGGGAAGGCGCCAGCAGTCGGCTCCATGCAGAAGATAGTGCTTGAGCTGGGTCTGAGAGGGAGAGCGGGAAAGAGGGGATGTGTTCCAGGTGTGGAGGATGGCTAATGCAGAAGCACAGAGGTAGGGGGTGGGTGCATCCTGTTGGTGCTGAGCGCAGTGCTGAGCACCTGGCATGACACCCTGCACACAGTAGGTGCTAAACAAATACTCCCTAGAATTCAATGAAACATAAGCTTCTTGAGGGCAGGGAGGCTTTCATTTTTGTTCTTGTAGGCCCACCACCTAGCACAGTGCCTGGCACATAGTAGGTGCTTTAAAATGATTATTGATTGATTTGTGGACTGCATGAATGATCATATTTTAAAATGGGAGATGCATTTCATCCAGGTGCATAGGTTTAAGGGGCATTCCTCCTACCGTGTTCATGGGTGGGGAGGTGAAGCTGAGGTCCTCTCTCTGGCTCCAACTGTAGAATTCTGATACAATGAAATGGATGAATCCAGAACCTGGATACCATGTAATCCTTTAGTTGACATCATTGAAACATTTTATGTTTGATTAAATTCTGCAAGATCAGAGTTCTGCATGTGAGATTTTGATGTAGTGGAGGCTACTCATGCACTGGAACCTCTGCCATTGTGTGTGTGTGTGTGTGTGTGTGTGTGTGTGTGAGAGAGAGAGAGAGAGAGAGAGAGAGAGAGAGAGAGAGAGAGAGAGAGAGAGAGAAGGGAATGGGAGGGGAGGAGAGTGAGAGGGAAAAGGAGAGAGAGAGATAATATGTATGTGCATGAGAGAAGAAAGAGGAGGGAGAGAGAAGGGGAGGGGAGGGGAGAGAGAGACAAAGAAGGAAAGAGAGAGAGGAGAGAAGAAAGAAAAGAGAAGAGAGAGAGAATATGTGTGTGAGAGAGAGAGAGAGAAGAGAAGAG